GGATGGATGGATGGATGGATGGATGGATGGATGGATGGATGGATGGATACTTAAACTATGCAAATTCCATAAATATTAAATGTACATGGATGTAACCTTTCTGACTGACCTCACCTCCACCTATTGGCCGCTGGAGATGGGCATCAGCTTCCTGTGTTCATGAACAGGAATAACATGTATAGAATATGGATGAATCGTTTAGAACAGCGATATGTGTAGGTGTGTGGGTGCGTTCCTTTTTTGCGACTCCTCTGACAACTGAATTTGATCAAATCCTTAATAATCCTTAAATAAATTGGCCTGATAAACAAACTGATAGCTTACAATAATTTTGTTACAGAAATGCAAACACTTAACAAAAGAGCTTCTAATACACAAGAAATCTATTTACCAAACATTTAAAAGCTCAGGGTTTTTTATGCTGTAAAAAAGTCAGATAATGTTACAAGTTATTGAATACAGCCAGAGCCAGCTGATATGTCATGTGTGAACACAAACAGACCCAGAAAACAGATCGGTGGCTAGCCAAACATGATCCAAGTCCTGTTCCTGTAAATATCTCATAGTAAGTTACACACAAAACAAAAAGTATTGTCAAAAGAACATGTCTCACTGTGACACACTTGTCCAACGTGAAGCTGCTGCTGTGAGCAGACCTTTCAGTCACAGGGTGATCTGTCGAATCAGTGGATTACACTGCCACCTCTGTAGGAGCAGAACCACCGTCCACAAGCACAATCCTGTATTTAGGATGAAGCCTTGTTCACTTCAACACTTCCGTCAGACGCCCAACTGTGCTGTGCCAGAATGTCTCAGTGGCCGTCCTTGAATACTCTGAATCAAGTGGAAAGTCTTTTTATTGCACAAGTCAACACAAATGTTTGGCCTTTAACTTAACCTGACTATATCTATTCAATACTGGCCTTCCCTGTTTTCTGCCAAATAGATAACACACAGATAGATAACGTGCATCCCTTTAAGCTAGACTGGATCTCATTCACTTGCTCGTCTCAGCTGAAGCACCAAACTGGACCGGAGCCCAGAGAGACCCCGAACCTGATTCAGTTCTTGGCAAACTACATTCAGGAAGCCACTAAATTGGCTTATCTATTGTGACCCTGGCCAGCTGATTGGCAGACAGTGGCGCACAAAGCAGCAGATTATTGGGGGCGGGGGGGGGGGGGGGGGGGGGGGGGGGCGCTTTATAGTGTGTGCGTGTGCGTGTTAAAATCTGGATGGGATCTTTAAACCACGCAGCACGGACAGGTGGTTATCTCTCGACCTGCGCGTGCTCGTCACCCTGTCTTTCACGCGCCTCTCTCTGGTCCAGTGGCTCTCCAGAAGCCACCCATTCGTGCAGCGAGCATGCGCTCCTACCTCCTCTTATCCTGCAAGGCACGCTCCCTCCGTTTTACTTTCTCTCCATGTAGTCGGAGCCGGAGGTGCCGCGGCAGTCTGACAGAGAGGAGCTGCTCCTTCATGTGGACATCACGCTCAACACAACAGTGCCACACTATGACAGTGGTGAGGGAAGGCAGAAAAGACGTTAGGACACTTATTCCCTTCCTCCGCTCCCTGACACTGCAGCTGTATAGAAGAAAGAAAGTGGTCACGTCAACGTGCACCAGGATCTAATCTAGAAGTCGAAGATGAGCAGCCGATCCAGGATAATCCAGAGCAACATCCACCAGCACGCTCCCAAACCACCTGTTCTTCCGCGCAGTCTTTACGCACAGACACTCAGGGCTGGGAGGAATTCGAGGAAAAACGCAGCGTTCCCTACAGTCAGCACCCAACTACAACCAGCAAGCACTGGTGGTGTTAGTCTCCACAGATGAGCTGAACGACAAGAACTGATGCAAACTATTTTAAATGATGTATATGACGCGGCAGATCTCCCATCCAAGCCGAGCGAAAGCGTGACATATGGATGCAACAGAGAGAAGTCGACCACAGTGCGTCAAATACAGAAGCATTATGAGCAATGCTGTGACTGAAGCTGAAACCTTCCTGTCCTGAGAAATGCACTTAGAGCAAATGCATTAAAAAAAAAAAAAAGAAAAATAAAATCAGGGAGAAAATAAAGAAGCGCAGTAACTTACCAATATGGATGATTGAATCCGAGAGCGCCCACTTCCACTCCTGGCTCCAAAACACAGCAACAATTAACAAGATAACTTTCATTATGTCCAAAGATATCCGCTTTAGGAAAATAGACGGGAAGCCACAGCTCTGAGTTCAAATCCCCAGACACGAGCTCTTTGTGTTCACTCAATTTAGTCCATCGATTTCTGTCTTGATCTGCTCTCTTAACGTCCAAGCAGAGACGAAGCAAAATCCCTGGTTAGTGGGAGACCCTGTTGAAATTCCCTTCCAACATTAAACCGGGGTGAGTGGAGAGACGCTGAGCTGCAGTGGTGGGGGGGAAATAAATAAATAAATAAAAACACACGCCACATCCGAACGCCGACGCGATAAGATGAGCTGAGGATGCTGCCGACCATTTAAAGGGAATGCATCTGGAACACGCCGGCAGCGTGAGGGACACCGTGTGAAGGGGGGGAGAAAACCTTATCTTGAGAAGCAGGTCCTGCGATAATGACCCGAGATCCCCCCCGAGCCTTTCCAGAACTGACGACGCAGTTTCCCCCCCTGCACCAATCGCACAACCACCACCAGCAGCAGCACCAGCAGCACCAGCAGCACCAGCAGCAGCCTCAGAGGACCAAGCCAACGGTCCAAACTTCCATTTCCTCTGGGGCTTGGGATTCTTCCTGCACTTCTCTCAACGAGAGCACAAATCAGACAACACACGCGCGCGCGCGCACACACACTGCCAGCAGCGACTTTTGTTGGAGAGGAAAGGAAAAGATGGGTTTGTCACATGGCAAAACCAGGAGAGATATAATCCAAAATCCAAAATGGTCTTGTGCAGCTTCCTTTGGAAATCGAAGCGGGATCTTTATAATGAACGAAAGCTCCAAAAGCCACTGTTCGGGAAAAAACAACAACAACAAAAAAAGAATGTTTCTAAAAATTGCAGACTGTGGAGAGAAATTCACAGACGATGCGCACAACGACGCTCCGCGCTCATTGTATGCGGCGAAACTCGCGTCAGACTCAGGCTCGCGCCGTGGCTGGTGAGGAAGGAGGTGTGCTGCGTCCGTGTGGGAGAGGGAGGGGGGGGGGGGGGGAGAGAAGGAGGAAGAGAGAGGGAGGGAGGAGACCCAGGAGAGAGAAAAAGAGAGAGAGGCAGAAGCAGGCAGAGAGCAGTTGCCAACAAGGGCGCGCATCTACTGTCTGGATGTACCTCGGTGAAAGCGAGATGAAATGGGAATATCTGAGGAAGGGGGAGCAGAGTCTAACAGAGACCGGAGGGGGGGAGAGCCAACATTAGGCCTGTCATGCATGGGGTCCTTGGTTAGCCATTGATCTGATGTCTAAAGCTCTGATTCAACAAAAGATAATAAAAGAGTCGATCTGAGATTATTTTCTGCTGCTCAGATCATTTTTACAAATTCTGATCATCTTTATGCTTTAATGCGTCAGAATTATATTTTATTATTGGATCAGCACATTCTCTTGTTAAGTAATGTCTTTTGCTCCATAAGTTAGTCCTTTCATTTCCTGATTCCATCATTTTGTCCCTCTCATCTGCCCATCCAACTATTAAAAATCCATCCCTGATGTTCCATGAGTGTTTTTCTTTATCTGCCACAGACCTTGGATTAGGGATTGGAACTTCAGGCTATCACTGAGCACATTGTTGTTATGTGTTTAAAACACTTCACTAGAAACAAAAGATTTGATCGACAGTAATAGTGAGGTGATAAAATGTGTTCTCAGAGCTGACCTTTTCAAAATGCCATTGTTTTATGGTCACATTTTGACCAGGGTTGGACATCTCTGTGGTCAATGTGATAATTATCTCAATATACTGCAAACAAATTGACTCATGGGCAGAAAAAACTAGTACAGTGAGTTACAATTCAGCCGTTCAGCCTTTAATAAGAGTATAATCTGATTCAATAATTTTTATACTGTATCACATTGGAATTCAATGCAATATACAAATAAATAAAACTGTCCTAGAATAATTGTTTACAATCTAATAAGAAATGACCACTCACAAACAAGTCCTGTTTAACAATCTGCGCATAGCTTTTATAAAACCTGACACATTTATTAAAAATTGAGACTTTGTGCAAGTTTCATAAATCTGCAAACAGCACAAGTGTTTAACATTCTCAGTAACTCGGTGAGCAGGAAAATGTAATTTCTATATTAAAAAAAATTAAAAACACACCTTATTGAATTTCAGTAGATTCACATTTTGAGTGTTAGTTGCTGTTTATGCCGGTGCTGCTCCAGTTCTCTTCCTGAACTGTAGGTGGCACTAGATGAAAAACAAAACTATTAAAACAGCAGGAAGTGGCGCCAGATGAAGAGCTGTAAAAAAAAAAAACATGAAAGGGGTGTTATAAATACGCATTAACTTGTCTTACTTTTAATGATTAAACGGATCGTATTTAATTAGTACAAAGACTTAATAAAGTAATGCATCTCTCAAAACTGCATCAGTTCACAGCTTCTCTACTGACACAGCTGCATCATGCATGTGCATGTTCATGAACTGGTACAGACTGGTTTATCTTTACATCATTAATGTTTACAAAACCACTTTCACTATGATCCATTGGTGGAATAGATAGATATACAATTTAGTAAATTTCAGGGAGAAAAAACTTTGCTGCAATTGGTCTTAAAGGAACATTTCAAAACAAATTGGTTGATTTTTGACTATCACACTGGTTTCTGTCAAGAGTAAAACCTATTATGTACTTTTTAGACCTTTGTTGCCATTAAGCAAGATATATTTCTTTTGCTGCTTTACTTACACTGTCAAAACCTCAAATTAAATGCATTTGGTATAGTCTTGAAAAAAGATTCACATATAATAAAATATTTTTCTTAAATAAAAAGACTATAAACAATAACTTCAAACCTATTTAATGGGTTTCATAAGTGATTAATCAGCAATGACCACTGTGTGCTGGGAGCTGCTGTGTGTTTACATGTATGCATTAAACAAAAGCATTTTTGTCTTAAATCATTTGCCCTTAAAATTGAGAAAATGGAATTACCGAGTTTATTAAATGCATTAACAATGCATGCTGATAACACTGAACACTTATGTTTTAAAGATGAGTATCTGCTGTAAGATAAACTTTTATATGCTTGCTTAATAAAAACACCATACAGCATTTAAGAAACCCAGCTTTTTAAACAACAATAATTTGGGCATTTCTATGTGGCAGGATGGCTTGAGGACTAATACAGACATGAAGGTTTTCTGGGGTTGAAAATAATCCTTTTTGCCACCTCCATCTTCTTGCTCTTATCAGTAGTTGTGTCTAAGAGGCAACAGGTCCAGAAGGGAAACCCAGACATTCATCTCCCTGCTGATACTCTCCCGCTCCTCTTGGTGAACCTCGAGGCATTCCCAGGCCAGAGAAGATATCCAATACCTCCAGCAAGTTCTGGGTCTGCCCCAGGCTTTTCTCAGTGCAACAACCTCTAGAGAGACGGGTCCAGGACTTCTTTCAATGTTAAAGAACAGTGGTGCTACTCCCTGCTCCATCTAATGTGATCCTTGCCATTTTTTTCTAAGGCTGAGCCCAGCAACCCTTCAAAGGAAGCCCATTTTGGCTGCTTGTACATGCAATCTTGTTTTTATTCTGTCATTATCTACACTCCGTGACCATAGGTGAGGGTTAAACATAGACTTAAATCACACATACACCTGCCTACATCTTCACAATGACCAACCAAAGCATCACCCTCATTACTGGGGATGAGGCCCCATTCCATCAATCCATCTCTTGTTCTGTCCTACCATTGTTCATGAGCAAGACATTCAGATTATACTCCTCCACCTGGGGTAAAGATGCCAGCTCTGTCCTGCAAACACTTTGTATGTAAAGGGCACATATGCAGACACAAAGTAGATATTTGTACCCTGTCAGTAAACACAACAGTTTTGGCCACTCATTTAGAAAAACGTATAAATAAATAAATAAATAAATAAATAAATAAATAAATAAATAAATAAATAAATAAATAACCTCTGAAAATGAGATCCTAAAATGAACCATTTTTTAAAAGCGTATTTTGTGAGGAGATTTATCCCCAGCCTTCTTACTGACAAAGCCTGTTGAGCTTTGTCAGAATAGACTGAAAGAGTTTGACCTACCGTCTTTACTTCTCTCAAATTCTTCCAACTGTTTTCCATTTTACAATTACACAGGCCATTTTGCTCCTGGGGGCATTCAAAGCTTTAGAAATGCTTTTGTGCCCTTCTCTCCTCTTCATCTAAAGTGTGCCACAGTTTTTAAACAGTAGAAGTATCTTGGGAGTTTGTCAGACTTCATAGCATGGTTTTATCCTGATACACTGGAGGGACTGTGGGACCGTTGTCTGGACACGTGTGCGCTGTTCAAAATGTTGTCACTATTTGGTCACAGGTTGGCCTTGGTCCGTTTAAAAGTCTAAATCTCAACACAAAGAACATTTCACCTTTTTATTCTGATTAATGTCGAGTCTGTGCATTTACTTCATAGTAACAGGTCAAAAACTGGAAACTAATAGAGGGATCAATATCTAATTCCACAAAATTAATACACTTTATCCATTTGTCACTTTTTCAGTGATCACGACATCGGGTGGACAACAGGAGCTATAACGACCTCAAGAGCGTGACTAAAGCGCTAATAATTTCAATCCATCCATTACTTTTACCTGCTTCTTCATTTTCGGGTCACGGGGGTCACTGGTGCCCATATCCAACCATCACTGTATGAGAGGCAGGGTACACCTTGGACAGGTCTCCAGTCAATCACAGGGACACATAGAGACAAACGAGACAACCATTCACTCTCTCACTCACACCTAGGGACAATTTAGAGTTACCAATCAGCCTAACATGCATGTTTTTGGTCTGTGGGAGGAAACTGGAGTACCAGGAAAAAACCACGCATGTACAGAGAGAACATGCAAACTTCACCCAAAAAGACCCCTGGCCATATGATTTGGTGACCTTCTCACTGAGAAGCAACAGCTCTACCAACTGATCCACCGTGCCATCAATTTTAATCCAATGTAAGCAAAAAAAAATTAGAAGCTGGGACAACTGTTTTTTCTTTTGTACGAAGTACTACATTATG